AAGGTTTTGGTGCAGACCATCCACTGTGAGGAGGAATGAGACCTTAGAAACAGCTAGGAAGAACTTGACCCTCATGGTTAGCAGTGCTGTCCAGGCATTGTGTCTGCACAACCAGCCTGGTTCTGTCCTCACCAAGCTGAGTCTGGCTTAGTAACCACATGTGAACCACAATACCAAAAGGACCAGTTCACATCATGATGCATGCTCTGATAAGAAAGTTCCCACAGTGATATACATAGCTTGGAGGTTCAGGGGAGACACAGAGACAGAATCACACTTGAGTGGGATTTCATAAAGCTCTGTCCTTCAGAGAGGAGGATGATAATTTTGGAAGAGAGAAGAGTGTCAAAAGTTCCTGATGTGGGGAGAAGCAGGAAGCACTCCAAGGGGCAGGCAGCAAAGCCTACTCATGGCTTGTGTGGGGGGTGTACATGGCTGAGATGGACAGGTTTTTCAGTTACAACGCCAGCCTCAGGGAGAGGGGCTGTGCTTTGCTTGCATGAGAGGCTATAGGAGAGATTTGGGTGGGAGGGTGATCATCCTGGTGTTCTGTTAAGACTGTTCTAGTTCATTGTGAGATTAGATGGCTAGGGAATGAAGCATCTCCAAAATTGGGGACTGTTGGCGCAGGGAGGTGGTGGCCAATACGGGTGTCAAACTGGGCTGAGTGGGCATTTAGGAGCTAAAGTCTCTGGGAAAGCATGAAGGAGATCAGGAACAAAAACAGTCCAGTCTTCTTGTATTGTTGCCTTCCAGTACTCGTCTTCAGGGTAAAACTGTTTTAACTTGACCTGGTGACAGAGGACAAATGGGAGGCTCAGGCAGGACTGCAAGGTCAAGGACATCAAGGCTGGTAGGTGAGATCAACACCAGTCTTGGCAACTATCAAGATCCTGTGTCAAAAAATAAAAGTAGAGAGGACTGGGGGTGCAGCTCAAAAGTACAGAGCTTGCCTAGCATGTACGAGGCCCTGGATTCCGTTCTCGATCCTACAAAAATGAAATGAAGTTTAAAAATTGAGAAATTCTTACAATGCTGTGGAAAATCATATAAAAGGACCAAAATCTGGAATGAAAATAAGATGTACTTTACAAAAGTACCAGGTAGACAGCAGAAAAGAAATCAGCTCTCACCGTTAGGTTAATGGCGCAACTCCAATAATTTTGATGCAAGTGTTTAATTTTAAATATATATTAAGTATACATTATGGCAGGCAATTTATG